TCTTTGTTGCTTACTTTATAGTGACTTGTAGAGGTAAGTGCAAGACTATTTCATGATAATGTAATTTATATGGATACAACAGGTTTATCATGTAGTGGAGGGACTATTCCAGTATCACAAGCAGACTCATCTACCTGTTACAGTACATATGCTCAGTAGGTTATGATAGTAACTGATTTATGAATTAAAGTTATACATTTAGATCAAGTGCTATCAGTTTCTTTAATGGAAGTGTTCAAGATGGCAATTGTGAGGTGTTTTCTAATCTCAATTTCTCTAATGTGACACATAACTGGTCTTCACATTATACTAACTGTGCTAAAGATGGAAACCTGTTTATCACTTTATTGTTGCCAGATAGTTTTGGCTTGCCTCCTAAATTATCATCCACTCATTGTATTCAATATAATACAACATCGTGCTCCTGTCAAATGAACTGTCTGTTGCATTTTTATCATTTACTTTACCATCACAATTCATATATATACCTTGAAGGAATAGACTGTAATGAAACATTATACAATACTACTATAGAGGGGATACAATATGACAAGGAATCAAGTTACTGGTCTAACTTTACTGCCAAAAAAGATTCTACACCTTGTATAATAGGTTAGTAGTTGTAATTATATTCATGATTTATTCATCATTATCTACTATAGATCAAGTGGTCAGTAGCAGTTCTCCATTAATCAGTAGTACTTCTGTTACTAGTTTTAATATTATGCCTACAGCTTCTATCTCTTCAGATCTATACAACTCCTTAGCTCACTTTATGCCACCCACTCCATCAAGTAAATCCAATGGCTTTTAAAAATTTATCAGCACACAATCTAATTGTTGTTACAGCTTGTCATCATTTTATGTTAATTTTTTACAAGAGTCAACAATTTGGAGTTTATCATTTGTTATTACTAATACTTTTAGTAGTAGTATACAGTTACAAATTTTTTCCCACCTTATCATGCCTCACATATTTTTGTACACTACTATTGCACACACCTGCAGTGTTTATATTGTTTAATTCATTTAGATAAATCTAGTAGTAGATCTAGTTTATTGATTGGTGGAACTCTCAGCAACAGCAACATCAACTTCCTTATTCCTTCAGCTCCCCTTTCTTCTCTTAGGCCTACCTCTTTTTCTCATATATCATCGGGTATTATATAATTAATGGATAAAGAATAACGCTTGTTACTAGTTTTTTATACACTTTATGTTGCCCACTCCATCAAGTATACTATATCTAATTGCAAGTGGCATTTTAAATGCACCTACATGTACATACATTCTAAGTCCTCGTCATCATTAGTGTTGATTTTTACAAAGAGTCAACAGTTAGCAGTTTATCATTTGTTATTAGTAATATTTTTGTTTCTAGATAGCACTAGTAATTTTGTAACAAGTATTGGCTCAACAGTTATCATATCTTCCATTGATGATGCAAGTAATCAAAATAAATCTACTATAGCATTATCATCATCATACCGTATAAGGGGTATATTTCCCAGGAAAAAAATTTCACAAAAATCACCTTTCAATCTATTCACAAGAAAAAAATTTAGGTTTTTCTTCCACTGACCATTATTAGTATGATAAAAAAAGATAAAAATTTTCACAATGGGGATCCT